ATAAATAGGTGTGTGTTTGTGTGTGTTTCTTTCTGCATGTGCCTTTTATTGTATAGTATAGAAATAATAATAATTTTATTTAGAAAGCACTTTATAAAGATAGAAGTGCAAGTTCAGGTTGAAATTTAAGTAAAGGAAAATACCACAACCATAATATGCAATCATATCTGTTAATCTCTATAGGACAGATATATATAACTGTCTCATATAAAGCAGGCAGAATGCCAATAAAATTAATTTAAAACAGAATAAAATGCAAAATATATGTGATACTGAACAAGCACAATTAAAATATATGATGATATAAAACACCATAAAATTATGAGATAAAGAGGAAATATAAAAGTGATGCAATAAAGAAAAAGTAAAACACTTTTCTTTATTGCATCACAGCGGCGGTAATGGTCAGAATGTCTGCACCATGCTAGCAGCTCTCTGAGGCCAAAGTGTTGGACTGCCCGACATCGCAATCCCTGCAGCCACGCTGCTTGTGGACCTAAAGAGAAAAAGAACAACAAAATGAAACCTACTGTATACATGCTGTGGTCAGTTAGCTGCATTAAGTGAAAACATAATCAAGAAAAAGGGATAGCACACCTAAAAAACCTTTAAGCCATTCATGTTCCAGGGGAATGTGTTCAGTCTTCAATTTCGTCTAATCTGTCTAATCTGTCACTCTTCTTTTTTCCCTTCTTCTGTCCATCCATTTATTTTCCCATTCTCTTTTCCCTCTCTCATTGCTTTACCCTTTTGCTCTTCCTCTCTCCCTCCCTCCCTCCCTCTCTTCGACCTTTTCGCAGTGTGCGGTAGTGAACTGGCCCAGGGAGGCTTCTTCGTGCGACAGGGTGAATACATCTGTACTCTGGACTACCAGCGACTGTACGGGACTCGCTGCTTCAGCTGCCAGGACTTCATCGAGGGGGAGGTGGTGTCCGCCCTGGGCAAGACCTACCACCCCCGCTGCTTCGTCTGCGCCTCCTGCAAGTAAGAAACAGGATGTGGGAAGTAGGGTCCAAAACCATATTTCATTCACGTGTGATCTAGTTGCCTCTGCAGTTGTTTCCTTGCACCCTATTTTGGGCCATTTTTCATGAACCATGTCTCTACTGCTGCAGCTCTACCAGAGGCGCTATTTATCAGCACGCCCTTCCCATTGTACTGCCCCTCCCCAACTCACTCTGCATTCAATTCTCTTACTGCTGTAGTCTGAGGGGAAATCAGACACATGCTACTTTCCTTCCATGTAGAAATTAATGGTAAAAATGTTTTGCTCTGATTGTGTCATAAACAGGGACAGAGAAAAACTGTTGATGAACAGAAACAGAGGAACTGAACAGCTGAAATTCAGGTTCAAACTAGAAAAGTAGTGAAAGCTGACAAATAAATGAAATGGCACCGTTTCTCTATTATTGCCTGCACATCTACAAGAGCTTATTTTATAGACAAACATTATAATCTAACCTCCATACAGTGCCATGCCCTGCAGAAGAAACTGAACAAGATACCAATTTGGCCTTAGCGTGGCCACCCTCATGAAAACTGCCTGGCAGAGGTAATGAAGAAGGCAGGTTTGTTAGGACCCTAGCAGGAACATTCTGAATGCACTGAAGCTTTCTGACGTGCATTTTATAGAACTTAAACATCTCCAATCTACCTCAACATACACCTCTAATGTACAGCTTTATTCACATTTGTTGCATTTAATAACACTTGAAATATTTCATTCAGTGTCTGTTTTACATTCAACCCTGACCCTTGAACCATTATGAAGGTCTTGAACATATTTCAATGCTACATTAGTGAGTTAACATAGAGACAGCCAGATACTGTGTCAGAACTGAATAGGCTTACTGTATTGCCTGGCACAACTGTGGACTTTCACATGACCCAAAATAGATGTTTTTCGATTTCGATTGAGCTTCTCAGAGGAAGATATTACACCGGCAGTGTGTTTCTTTTACACATATCATCAACAGCAAGACCCCTATGGTGTAGGTTACATTTACATAAAACTATAATATACACACACGTATAAATATAGGAAAGACACGTGGCACTGTGAGTCACAGGAATCTTCACCTGTTTGCAGCCATGTGTATGCTGTGTGTGTATGTGTGTGTGACCAGTGTTGTTTCTCAGGCCTAGAAAAGGTAATGGGAGCCTGTCTCAGGCAGGAATTCTAAGTGCGTGGTCAGTCTGTGCGGCCACTTAGCCCATTCCTACAGCTAGTGTTAAGTGTCTTTTGAACTGGGGGTGGGTTTTCTGTCTGTGTGTGTGTGTGCATGTGTGTGTTCATGCTATCATACTTCGGTGATCCCGATGCTGAACCTGAGATCAGAATGTTCCAGTGTGGCATTTGAGGTTTGTAATGTGATCATCAAACTCCTGTGCTCCTTTTATAACAAATATCGCTTTTGTGGTGACAAAACACACAGGCGTATTGTGCAGAAAATAAAAATAGGGCTGCAGAGAATGGGAGCAAATGCTGCTTGAGATTAGACTTCAGACTCAGCTGTGTGTGTGTCCTATGGTCACAGTATCAATAATTCATCAAGAGTAATCTATCTCCTTTTTTAACTCACTGTCTGGGTTTCTTTGTGTTTTTGTCTGCGTGTGTGAGTCTGTTGCATGCAGGTGCTACTTCACATTTCACCTGCAACTGCAACAATACATGTATTAATCTGCCTTAATCTCTCTACGTACACCATGTTCATCAACACTGATGCACTAAGGCATCAAGAAAAAACACAAAGAAAATTCCATCTATATGAACTCAGTTTCAATTAAACACGTCAATTGAAAAAAATGGAATTAAAAGAACCAGCACACATTCTTTCAGAGCAGAGTCAACAAACCTTTAACAAACCAATTTCCCCCCAGGGATCAATAAAGTATTTCTTGTTCTGATTCTGATTCTCTAACCTGACAGTGATGAGTGAAATAAACTCTTATGTAACAAAGCACAATAAACTATTGTTTGTTTGTATTCTGCCATACAAAGCAGACACATGCAAGTAATTGCATATTTGGTCCTAATTAAAGACCAGGATTGTTTAGTTTGACTTACAAACAAGACTAAGATTCATACTAGCAGCTGTAATGTTAACAGTCTTGGTATAGCGTGTGAGCATGCTAACATTTGATGGTTAGCACTAAACACACAGTACAGCTGAGGGAAGGCCATTCGGTCACCAGATTTATTTTTGGCTTAATTGAAAGTGATTACAGTTCATCCAGAGGTCGACACATTATGTATGTACCAGATTTCTTATCTGTCCATCCAGTAGTTGTTGAGACATTTCAATCTGAACCAAAAATGTCATGGCAATGTTTCGTCAACAACAGTTTTTCACTAATAAAAACAATAACTCAATAAAATCGGTCGAAAGTGATCTATTGACATTTTTGTCAACAAATAAAAAAGAGATAAAAATGTTAGGTAGGGGAAAGTTTGGAAGAGATCCAATCAGAACAAATCTCTTTGTGTGGAGCTTAGATGCAAGCTAACGTTATTTATCAGCTAAGTCAGTGTGTTTTTACTAAACACAAAATACAATACACTAAAAGAACTGTCCTGTACTGATTAAAGAAGTTGCTGATCTTAGATCGTAAATTGATCTTATTATTCATATTAGGCATTTCATCCAGGAGTATTTAATGAGTTTGGAAATTCTCAAGAAACGTTTAAATAAACCCATTTTAGTCGATTAAATTTACTGTATATGTATTTAACTAGAACTTAGAATATTTAGTCAACTATAACTAAAACCATTCAGATTACTTCAATATGCATAAAACTAAGTAGCATTTTAGTCAAAAGACTACGACTCAAACTAAATCAAAACTCTCCCTTATGGTGGCCCTTATGGATTCACCCTCAGGTCACAGTGAATGTCTGGACAACATTTAATGGCATCAGTTCAGATTTACCAATTTCATAAATAAAAAAGAAATGCTATATGTATAGCACTTTCAAAAAGCAGATGTTTATAATACATAACACAAATGTAAAAGTTAAAAAGGGCTACGCAAGATAAACATTGCATTTGGGACAGGCCAAACTATATACTCACAGTATATAGTATAGTGAGACTTAGATAAGAAATAGATATCAAGCCTCAATATATCAACCTTAAAAAATAAATGTTGTGACTGTTTATACGTGAGTAGCTGGCTGTGACAGTGTGACAGCAGCTCTCATATCGAATTTCTGAGCTGTAGGAAGCAGCACGTGGCAGCCAGTCAGAGCCTGCTCTGCCAAGGAATCATCATTCCTTCTGTGCTTGACTCAGTGACAGCAGCTGTGCTGGAGCAGCACGTACAAACAGCCGAGAGACATTAACGTTACTTTATTGTGTTTGTAATGTCACTCCTAACAGTATAATGGCATTTGTCTCTAAAGGAATTTTGGCTGGTGAATGAAAATAGAATGAATCAATGAACTAATTTGATAATTTCCTAGCAGCATGCTGAAGCCAGTGTCAACAAGCCTTAAGCTGCTCTTCTTCAGTTGGCGTCTAGATACTGGCTCCAAGTAAACTGAAAAGTGGATACATTTGTCTCATAAAAACATAAACTGGATTGTCTGGTTCCAAGGCTAGCACAGGAGCATTGTCATGTAGAAACATGAAAGGGCCAAACACAGACTGTTAATGCAGACTCTCATACATTTATTGGGCAGAACAAAATTAGGCTTCTAAATCTAAGTCTCTAAATGTGACCAAGGTTGTACTTTACTGTTCAGTTTGGGGACCATTTCGAAACTTAGTTGGGATGTTCGACACCATACAAAATCCACTTTTATGCTGATGACACTTTTATTTACTACTCTGCACCATCTCACAAAGAAGCTTTGTGTAACATAACACTAAACAAAATTAAAGTAGTTCTAAATGTTTTTAAAAAACTTGGTTAACACATTCTAAGAATAAATCAAGAGATTGAGTCAGTGTGCACAAATATTGTGTGTTTGTAATCAGTAACTGTCTTTCTTTCAAGCCTCATGTTAAATTGTATCAGAAGAACCATCCTGGAGGACTGGAGGTGGAATTTTGAAATGGATGGAAAAGCAAATTAAGGAATTATTAGGATATTAGTTTAGTATTAGTTAGTCATCTTGTGAAGAGTCCTATGACAATTTGTTTCATGCTGAACAGTTTTACCTAATTTTATTTACTTACTAATAACTTACTACCACTTGATGGGTAATATAATGCTGACATATATAAAATCTATAAAGTGCAACATATTGAATAAAACATTAAACAAACAAAAAAGACATATGAGGTCAAAATTTCTAAAGTCCTGGCTATGGCCATGTCCAACATGTCGTAACAGTTTTAGGACAGTCTGTCCCTTTTACTAAAAATGTCCAGTAAATATTCCTGCTTCATGATAAAAAAGGAGGCTCCTCCCTGACCACATCTAGGCATCAGTATGTTATTATTGTTTTCACTTCATGTGTCTGGGAGGATTGTAGGAAGGTGTCTGCAATGTAAAACTTCCCCAACCTGCTGAGTCACCCAAAACAGTTTTGTCCAGTGATGGCCTAAATAAGCTTTGGGATGCACAAACTGTATCAGCCAATGCCCTTATCTGATGTTGTGTCTGTTTTCTGTTTGTTTGCAGACAGCCATTCCCGGCCGGCGACCGAGTGACATTTAACGGGAAGGAGTGTATCTGCCAAAAGTGTACCCAGCCTCTCCCTGCCAACAGCCCTGCACCCATTCAGGCTGTCCACAGTCAGTACTTTGTTTATTTCTCTGTCTCTCTCTGAAACATAAATCATGCACCTTGCAAACTATGATTTATGACACTGCTCGTTATAGTAATGTTCTGTCCCATCCCTTAAATTGGCACTTTCTTAAATTGTGTCAAGTCATTCCGCTCTCAGGAAACCAAAATGTCCAATGTTCTTTTTGTCCTTTTGCTTAATGAAACCAGAGAACTGTAGAGGGAACTCTTCCACTCCAAGTCAGCTTCAGTATTATTTTTGATCAAATATTAACTGATGTCCCTTCATGTGGCTTTCCTCTGTGCAGACTGCTGTGGCTGTGGGAAGGTGTTTAAGAATGAACAGTCTCTTGTAGCCCTGGACAAGCACTGGCACCTGGGCTGCTTCAAGTGTAAAGTCTGCAACAAGGTGCTCAATGCCGAGTACATCAGCAAGTAAGTCAGCCTGGCTTCAGAAATACAGTGCTGTCACTACACTACTTCATTCATACTATTGCCTCTATGGCAAGTGATCCTGCATTTTAACCAATTATCAGATAGTTAGTGTAAAACTTCCTGTTGTCTGAATGTAAAGCATTCTGGGTTTGCTTTGACTCTGACTTTTCCTTCAGACTTAATATTGTCCAATATATACCAACAGGCATAACATTATGACCACTTGCTGTTTTGGAGATGCTCTGACCCAGTCGTCTAACCGTCAAAATTTGGCCCTTGTCAAAGTGGCTCAAATCCTCACGTTGCCCATTTTTCCTGCTTCTCACACATCAACTTTGAGGACAAA